CAATATTTTGGCTTCGTGTGATATTACCAAAACTGCGCATAACATTTATTTAATATATATATTTTTCCATTTTTAATATCAATCAGTGTTTTACAATAATATTCAGTACGTTTGTTTAAGCTTAAGTATGTATCATAAGTGATTGATGCATTCGTAAGAATAAATGTGACAAAATAGTTAATTAAAGCTGTTATTCATTGTTCAATTTTAGAGAACAATTGCAAACGTGATTTATTTAATATGCTTCATATTTAAATAATTTCTATTTTCGTTTCCTAGTCATCTTGTCTTTTGGTGCTTTCATGAGTAGAAAATATAAAAATATATACGATAAGTATATAGATAACATTTTTCTTAATTATTTGTATCCCCATACCTTTGCAAATAAATATTTTTTTAACTTTCACTTACAACTCTGTATACAGTATGCGAAAGAGTTTACCTTGGCATAAGTAATCTTAAAATGCACACTACGCGAATTGCCACTACGTATTCGTACAAATTCCAACAGTCAGTCGTGTGCGCGCCGTCCTTAGCGTTATTAATGACAACGGTGTGTAATAACTCAATACCAAGATTCGTACTTTCGCTTACGGGTATATTTACTTTTTTTAGGAGAATAGGAAAATCTTTTAAGAACAACTTCGTTGAGCAATTAAGGCTTAATAGAAGCTAATCTGATGCCAGGGTAAAAAATTAAGAACAGCCAATGGTTAAATCTCAAATTAGGGCAACTTAGTTGATCTTAAACTAAAGATAAGACCCATAGCATCAAAACGAAAAATGGAATTAGTAACAAATAAATAAGTAAAATAAAGATATTGCACGGGAATAGAAACGGGGTTGAATGGGCATGTTATGGACCCTTAATTTTACCCTTAGCATCAAATTAGACCCTAAAAGCCCCTATTCTTAGTATTTTCGAGTCCTCATACTTCATTTATTGTTACTAATGCAATTACGATTCAAAAATACGAATACTTTGCCAAAAATATTTGTAAAATGCAAAATACATTCTTGTCGTTAAAAGTTTTGCTAATATCTCCGATCAAACATTATATAAATTAATGAATGAAAGTTGCTCACATTGGCTATTGAAGGTGTTAGAAGCCTAAAAAGGGGACAAATAGACATTCCATGGATGCCTTCTAATTCTTTAACTGAAGAGAATCCAAAAAATTCTAAACTCCTTGGAAACGGATAATCTAAAATATTAGATCGATATTGTTTTCCGGGTTCAATGTCATAGTCAATGGAATTTTGAAGTTCCAAATTGATATCAGCACCTGCCAAATCACTACTTATCGTACATTTAGCAAGGAACTACAAAATTATATGAATTACAACAAAATAGCCCGCAAAATAATATCGAATTAATATACGCCAGCTGTGTTAAACTGAAAACTACAAAATATTGTGGTGTGCTAATAAATGCTTAGGTATAGTCCAAAATTCTTATAAAACGATTCCGAAAATTTTACTTATTAGATGAACCCAAAGCTAAAGAAACAATGGAGTTCATTTCTTTCTCTTATTACAATGTGTAAAAGATCGGAAACAAAATGCGGTTGTAAATATTTTTATAAATGATTGATGTTGATTTTTAATCAATAAAATTATTTGCAACCCTATTTTCGCTCTGGTCTTTCACGGTAAACAAACTATTTATCACTGTCTTTTTTCTAATTAAAATGGGTGACAAAGGCAAATAAGGAAGCATATTGAAGAATTATTTGTTGCTGAATTAAAGAAGCAATAACATAAAGATAGAAAGTTTGTATGTCAATCACTTCAAGCAGAAAAATATGAATTATACTTAATTATCGCGGCTGGCGATATAGTGTAAATACCACTGTTAATCTAGAAAAACTACAATATTTAAAAAATGAGCAAATGCCTGCAA